AGGTTTGAAAAGATTTAGAACAGCCGTCAGGGGTCAGTCAGTAACAAGGATTTTATTAAACTGGATAATGGATACATGAGGATTCATTGTACAGTCTCTAATTTTATATACTTTTGAAGTTTCCTATAATTCAAAAGTCTAAGGTTGAGTTGGGGGAGTGCCCCTGAGGTAGGAGGAATGTGTGTAGCAGCCAAGTAATGTATTTGGGGGGGAGGAGCAGTCTGCTCCCAGGATGATGCAAGTCAGTCAAGTAAGGACTGAAAATTGATCTTAAAGATTGGATTTAGCAAGAGAGCTTGTTGGTATTCTTAATGGTCCGTTTCAGTGGAATGGGGAGGGCAAAAGCTTGAAGTAAATTCGATAAGAGTATGGGGAAAGAGGAATTGGAGGAATTGTATGTAGGCTGCTTTTTCAAGGAGTGTTACTGTGAATGAGACCCGAGAAGTGAGATAGTAGCTAGAAGAGATGTGGTCATTTCTGTGAAAATGGAGTGTGTTCATTTGGGAGCAGTTTCATGGAGGGAAGTGATGGGTGAGCAGAAGGGCGCAGTCCGCCAGCGGCTGCTATTGGACCTAGGGAGCAAGAGGAGGACAGGAAGGAAGGAGTGTTACTAGGAAATTAATGTCCCAAGTGGACGAAGTTCTTCATGCAGAACCCTGCAGCACTCCTTTCGTTGGTTTTCTCCTATGAACAGCAGCTGTCCTCTTACTGTTAGAGGAAGGAAAGAGTGTAAAATAGTGATTTGAATGTGGACAGAAAAGCTAAAATGATACTCAGATCTCCCACTGTGGGGAGTGGAAAGGTCTGTGCTACAAAATCTATATTCTCTCTACTTCTAGTATTGGAATAAGGTAATGAGGAGCACTCATATTTTGAAATGGAAAGTTAATGAGGGAAGGAAAAGTTAAAATTTTCTTGGAAGCAGTGCCAACAAAGATGGCTAAATACAGCTCCATTTTCTGTTGTCTTCAGGTAGAATGATAGCAAAGGGAAACAGTTCTATAGGTAAAATTTTCTGACTTGGGGGCATGGTCACATTGCTGCCTCAGAAGTTTTTGTAATAACTTGGCTCCCTCAACCACATTTGAAATACAAACTGTAGTACCTTGTTTGAGCTGGTATCACTGTTTCTGAAGTTTTAAGTGTCTTAAAAGTATTAGTCTGAGTAATTTGCAGTAAAGAAATATGAATTTTTTTAAACTCGGTTGTGCTTCACAAACATACTGGACTGTGGACTTGTGGACTTAATACTCATTATTAATCTCCAGGGGATTAATTTTTCTAGTCAGTGTTGTGTGACAGCTACTTGACAACTTTTTCTTTATTGACATCCTTTGGTCATACTCCCATAAGCTACTGAAGTTGGAAGGTTTATCTCTATATGATCCTAGTATGGTTTAGTCTGGATCTGTTCTTATGCTTTTTCTGCTTCTCTTAATTGTGCTTGCCTCATGAAGCAGTGTTTCCACAGTAATGAAGTAAAAAAATTTCACTAGTACCCGTACCACGCCCCCTTCCTGATTCACTGTATTACCAGAGAATAAAAATTTCACATTAAAGATGTGGGAGGTACTGTTGACATACTTGAGTGAATTACCCAACTCCATCACCAACTTTTTGTTTTCATTCATTTAGAATAGTGACCCAGAAGTTTTAATTTAGAAGCCCCAAAGACTTGTCATTTTACAACTTCTGACTGAGAGAACCATCTTTGACTCGTTTTGTAAAATTAACTAGCATAGGGTAAAAACATGAACTAGCCATTTTCTAGAGAGTATATATTTGGTAAGTAGGTTGTTTGGATGAGAAGCTGAGAACTGCTGAGTACCTACCTGCAACCTGCACACTGCAGATTTTTCCTGTTTTCTTAACAATACAATAATTAAGGGATGTTAATTGTGAGGTAGAAACATCCTTTTTACACATTTAAAATTGGTTTTAATAAAAGTAGTATTCTAGCTGTGTTTGTATTTAATATAGACCTTCAGTTACAGTCATGCTTTTCATTTTCCCTGTTGCCCTATTTTAATTCTTACAGGAAGCGTGTCCCTGATCACCATCCCTGTTGAGCATTCCCGTATGCTGTTGAGCTCTGGACCAGTTCATAGTAAAGTTGTGTTTGAAAGACTTTGACTTCCTGAAAGAAGAATATAGAATTGAAGTTTATCTGTGGCTGTTATGTCCTTAAATTTGGACATTTAACTGACCTTCTATTTTAACATGGGTCTAATTTATTTGCTGTTTCATTTTCTATAAAATTCAGTTGATTTAAGAGTTCATTCCTCATACTGTGCATCAAAATAAAAGTTTGAACAATTACTTAGTTCTTAACTGACTTAGTGATTTGTACCTGGTTTACTCTAAATGGGAGTGAATGATTATCCTTGGAGTGTAGAGTTGTTCCAGCTTAACTAATGGTTGATATTACACATTTATGAAAAAATTATCTTGATTGATGTAAGGCCAAGTGAGACGTTACAAACTTTGTATCATTTGATTCTTAATCATACGTGACATTTGTTAACCATTTTGTTTTGCGAAAGATCCATATAGTACTCTCAATTTTGTGTAGTCTACATATTCTCTCAAACACAGGAAAAAATATACGGTGGTTTCTGTTACTTCAAGTGTGAAAGAGTTACATTTTAAATGTTGGCTGCTGCAAGCTTCTTCATATTACATCTGGTAATTTTATAGGGCGTGGATATGGTTAGGTGTCAGTGTTGATGGTTTTGCTAGGGTTTCTTGTGTTTGTTTTTGGTTAATGCATTCTAGATAGACTGTATGTGCTGAATTTGATGGTTTAAAGGTGAATTTAGATTTGGAGGTTAATTCAGCAAAGTGTGCAAGAAATGAAACGAGCCCAGTAGTAGTCTTACATTGAGTACCTTTTCTAGAATCCTGGAGAGAGGTTTTACTCACATAGAGGATCAAAAGGGTTTTCAGAGGAATACTGATAAACCAACCTGTTTTGTTCTTGTCCAAAAATTTGTCTCAGGATTTTAACACTACTTTGTAGAAGCTATTAAAACTGGAAAATTTTGGTTTTTATTGTGATACTAGCATATATCCTCCAAAATTCACATAAAGGAGACACTTCTGAGATCATCAAAGAGATTTATACAGGTTTTTACTTTTTTCACTTTTAGAAACATTAATAGTACATTTGCTGTGTCATTTTTAAAATACTTTGTCACACATCACGACATCATTTTTCATCCCACAACTCAGATAGGTGGAGCAGTTGAGCATATCATGGCCTGGAAAACATGCAGAGGTTTCCATGGGAGAGGTAGGTGGATAAACATTTATCTTGAGGGACCAGGTAGCCTGGAGTAGGATTTTAATCTACGCTGTATTTGGGCTCATTTTTTCCAAAGGTCCTAAAACAACAGTGAGTGTTAAGAGGTAGAAATCTAGGAGCTTAATTGTATATTCAAGAATATACCCATGTTTCTTTCCCTCTTTGAATTCATATCCTTTGAAGACCTTAAAGGTTTTTTCATCATTGGCCTAGAATATCCCAAGTTCACGAATTACAAAGTTTTTAAGTTTCAGAGATAAAGTACCAACGTAGGCCCCTCTGATTCCTGTAACAGTTTTAGGATGGAGTTTCTTTTAACTCAGAAGCAGTTATGGAAACAGTGAATTTTTCAGTTTTCACAAGACTTTTGTGACATGGAGATTTTTGGAATGTATGTTAATACTTAACTGCATAGAAATTAAGTGCTTAGGATTTTAAAGTCCATTTTAATAGCCTTGTGTTTTTCTTTGAAGAAGAATAATACATGTGCTGGGTATTTTACTCGTAAGTCAGAATCGATTCTTTGCCTGCTTGAAGGCCACAGGGCTTACCCTTGCTGACTGCCTAACAACTCCCTGTAGTCTGGTTTTATATGGCTTAATTCAGGAGGCTCTGGTGGGAAAGGGGAATCGGTATTTTCTTCCTGTTTTTGCTCTTTTTCCCTGGAATTGGTTGCAGCCCTGGAGACCTGCCACTATAGCTTAGTGGGCAGCCCCTCTTTTCCTGGCTCTCAGCTCTTTCTGCATTTTGGTAACATTTCTGTTCCGTGTTCATTGGGCCACATGGGTGGGGACAGCTGCTGCTGTTACTTAATGCTAAATACAATTACTCGTGTTAACCCTAACATATGCATTTTCTTGTCAGGACTCTGAGGCATAAAAGTCAATAGAATACTTTGTATAAAATCTTTTACTGAAGTCTGCTTTGTTTTGTGCCAACTCTTGTGTTTTAGAACATCATTAAAACAGAAATGTAAAGAGCACTTTAGCTTTTAATCATAGTATTATTAGAGAACATTTTTTGATTCTCAATATGAATAAAGATGTCACATTTTAAAATTGTGAGTAGTACATAACACCTTTCAAAGAGGCATTGACAAAACTATATGAATTAGCTTACATAAGACCCTGAGGATAGTGCTTGACCTACAGTCGTGCTTTGTAAGTGTCAGTGTGTTTCCCTTGGCCTAGGTGCATGATAAAATCTCCAAAATTCAGTGATAGAACTACCAAGAACTGGGGGTTCAAAGATTATCACCTTCGTGTTCTCAGAAGTGGGCAGACCAGAAGGGAGGGGAAAGCATATGAACGTTAAAATAATATTCTTTCTAAGGTAGTGAGATTACAAGGGGTGTGTGTGTATGTGTGTATCTTTTTACAGTGACAAAAGACAGTAAATTGTCTAGCAGACACACACCCATGTCCTCCGTCTCATGTCTTTTGCTCTCACAATAGGAATGGCATTAGTGCCAAGGGAAAGTCTCACATTTTCATGTATATTAATGATTTTGCAAATTCTAGAATAACAGGGCAGGGATATTCATTTAGAATCTTAAAAAATGAATCCTTGGTAACTATACCTGTGTTTTCCTATGTAGGTAAAGCAGAAGTGTTTGACCACATTGCAGTAGTATTTCTTATATTCAAGGCCAGAGATACTATTCGTTGAAATTCTACTGACGTTTTTTTGGTTGTTCTTTGGCTATTTATGGTTTATTCCTTTAAACAAGGAGTTCCACTGGTTGTAGAGTAAAAGTGTCACGCTGCCATGATATGACACTAAAACAGCATATTAAGTAAACATCAGCCATAACCTACCACAACTGTTCAGTGTACTTCGTACACAGTAATTTGTTTAAACTTGACAGTGCCCCGAGAGCCAGAAAGTTACCATTTTACTGACTAGAAAACAGGCCCATGGAGAAGTAAGTGACCAGTAAATGACCAAAGTGGGGTTTGATCTCAGGCAGTTTGAAGGGACATGCTCTTAACTGTATTACAGCCTGTGGCTTCCTTGGAAAAAGTGGGCCCCTTACTCCTTGGAGGGGGAGCGAGTGAGTGAAAGTCGCTCAGTCGTGTCCAACTCTGACCCTATGGGCTATACAGTCCATGGACTTCTCCAGGTCAGAATACTGGAGTGGGTAGCCTTTCCCTTCTCCATGGAGTCTTCCAACCCAGGGACTGAACCCAGGTCTCGCATTGCAGGCAGATTCTTGATGTCTGAGCCTCCAGGGAAGCCGCTAGGAGGGGGAGGAGAAGGTCAAAAGAAAGTCATGGCCATCATTAAGGATGGACTGTGATGCAGCTCAGAAGGCAGTCTTCCTGGCAGAACGTCTCTATCATCAGCTGAGTATAGTTTAATTGCAGTCGTTAGGAATGAGTAAATAGACTAAATTCTAGCTTTCTAATAGAAATCTGGACTCATTGCTAAAGGGGTTAAGTATTTGACAATTTAGTGATTAAAAGGATGCCTTGGCCATCTAATCAATGGGTTGCAGATACTCTGCAGACTGGAAGGTGGTGATAGGAAGAGATTATGTGAAACCATGAAACTTACTTCCTCAAGTTTAGCAAGAAATATTTGTGGGAGGAAAATAGTCGTCTGTCTAATGTCATTTTAGAGCTGAACTTTCCTGGGTTGAGATGCTTTTAGGGAGAACGTACTTTAAAAGCTAACGTTTTTAATGTTTTAGTTAAGATAACACTTTCCTGAAAGAGTTCAAGGACAAAAAGGATTGTGTTACTAAACTACCCATTGACAGCAGTTTCTGTAAAGACATATTCATGGGGAGAAGAAAAGGTCATAATTAACATATTAATACTTCAAAGAAATAGCAGCTTTAATACCCAGGTTTATATATGGACCACCAAAAGATTCCATACAAAAATAAATCAGGGAAGGCAGAGATGCTGAGGCTGAAGAGGCAGACATTTCCTATATGTACACTACAACCTGCAGTTCCAATATCCAAATGCTTTTTTCAAGCGAACAGATTTTGCACAACTTTTTTACCTAATATGATTGTGGAAATGTGGTCCCTGCATGCAAAGGGATTTAATTCAACCCTAGTACATTACTGTTGAGTTAACAATAGGATTCTGTTCTACTGAGGCAGCCAGTTTGGCTTGATACTAATGAGACCACCCTGCCAAAGAGGTTCTGTTTTCTAGATGACTTTCAGCATTGCCAGTGACAGTACACAGGTGGGAGTAGACCTTTGGTCAAATCTTTACAAGGAAAATGAAATGGCATGAACCACAGTCAAGTTCAAAGTGGCAGCTGGACTCCACCAGGAAGCATTCTCCAGCAGGGTTGTCAGCAGCCACTGAATTTCAGGGGAGAAGCTTCATCTCCAGCCTTTGCAACAAACAAGAGTTTCTGTGAATCTGACTGACTAGGTAGACATGTCATTTTTAAGTAACCTGAATAGTAATATTTTCATGCCAATTATGGTCGTTCATAGTATGAAAATACACCCGGCAGAGGACTGGAGACAGGCCACCTGAACTGTTAGATGAGTTTTGTAACTTATACCTGATTTGGGAAGCGCATGAGCCTCGTGACCAGCCAGTTCTAGAGGCTGGGGGAGGCCAGACTATCCCAGCCTTTCTTTCGGGTGTTTCAAAATACCTGTTTGGAGAGGCTGATTTTCTTGCAAAGAAGTTGTCATGCTACCTATAGCACACAGTTCCCTTTGGGAGAGATGTTCTTGGCCATGAGTATTTTCTTCTCCCGGGTTAGGCATTCCATCTGATGCTGTTCCATTTGCCGCTGGCAGAGATGCCCCACGTGACCCAGAGCAATCCTCCGCACTCTAATGGAGCCATCTCCAGAAGATGCTGGAGTTGTCCTTGGCTTTGACCTGCCACTGAAGCTTCTCAGGAGCTGGTAGGAGGAAGTGGAGGAGGCAGGGCAGGTAGCTGCGCCTCCTGGCTTTCCTCCCTGGCCAACGCATAGCGTCTGGCTTTTCTAGGGTCAGGCTCTGGGGTCTCCTCTGCCCATCTTCCTACTCGACGCACCCCTTTGGCCACCTTGGGTGCGTTCCTGCAAGGATTGTGGTCATAGATTACCAGCTTCAGGCTGGAGAGGTGGGCCAGGCTGGGGAAGGAGCGGATGCTGTTCCGGTCCACGTCGATTACCTCCAGGAAAGGCATGTGAAGCAGCACAGAGGGGAAGTCTGTCAGCAGGTTACCCGAGAGCCAGATGGTCCTCAGCTCCCGGAGGCGCTGGAGCCGGCCTGGCAGCAGACGCAGGGCGTTGGAGCCAGCGTGCAGCGTCTTAAGGAGACTCAGCTCACAGACCACCTCCGGCAACTTGGTGAGATAATTGGCCTCAACCCACAGGGTCCGGAGATTCTGGAGCAGGCTCAGCTCCCTGGGGAGATCACAGAGTTTGTTGTTGCCCAGGTAGAGGATGCAGAGCTGTTTCAAGGTACACACCACCTGGGGCAGCGCCTTGAAGTTGTTGAAGTCCAGGGCCAGAATCTGCAGGTTCTGGAGCTGCCCCAGCTCTGGAGGCAGGCTATTGAGGCGGTTGTCGCTCAGGTAGAGCTTGACCAGCTCCTGGAAGGAGCACACGTGCGCAGGGAAGCGGCGTAGCTGGTTCCCACTCAGGTCCACCATCCTGTCCAGTGGCATCTCCCGGAGGTCTCTGGCCACGTAGTTCTGGCAGCGGTCAGCAGGGATGAAGGCCACGAAGGCCCTGATGGTGTTTCCCATGGCAAGCCGCAGCCCGCCAACCTTGGGGCTGGTGCATCTGCTCTGAGGCCTGTCTTCTCCTCTCATTATAACCTGGGGGTTGCGTGACAAAAGCCAGTCACTTCAACAGAGAAAAGTGCTCCTGATAGCCACTTGAGTGTCCGGTGACAGCCAGGGTCCTGGAGGCGGGGTCTCACACACTTGCTTTCCGTCGCCTAAACCCCAATCCTCTTTACATTTGTTGTTTGTTTCAAACTGAAAATAGCTTCACTTTTTTCTAGCGGTAAAACATTGGGACATTACATAAAGGTGTAAAAGAAGAAAGTAAAAAACAGCCAGTCACACCCACCAGAGATAAATACTGTAAACATTTTAGCAGATGTCCTCCAGCCTTCTTGCTATAAGTAATCAATTTGTTTTAAAAAATTTCACATACTATTTAGGAGTCATTTTTTATCATAAGATATGGACATATGTTTATAGGTATCCATGCAATTATTTTAACACCTATAAATCATTCCATTATATGGAGGCAGTGTTATTTAAACAGGTCTCTTGTTAGGCATCTTGGTTGCTTACAGTGTGTCACTATTATATATATATATCCTTGTACATACAGTGTGAGCAGTTATTCACTAATTTCTTTAGGAAATGTCCTTAGAAGTATCACTGGGTCAAAGATATGCATCCTTTAAAGGCTCTTCATCGGTGTATCTGGACTAGTGTATACACCCCAAGTGTCCATTTTCTTATTTCTTCTTTCTTTATTGTCCAGTTGCTATGTTGTGTCTGACTCTTTTGTGTTACTTTAGGGACTATAGCAGGTCAGGCTCCTCTGTCCATGGGATTTCCCAGGTAAGAATACTGGAGTGGGTTGCCATAGTTTTCCACACTTAAACAATGTATCTTTGACAAAAGACCAGTAGAAAAACAGCAGAAAGAGAAGAACCAGCCTTCTAAAGCTTAAATAAAGGAGGATGTATTCTTACAGTGCACTGGTATCGGATGTGGCTCATCAAAGGTTTGTGCTTCCTTCCACAGAATGAAGTTGTGGAAAATAGTTGTCCATCTGGGACATTTCCTAGCACTAGTCTAGGGCAGTTAGGCTAATTTTGGCCAATGGAATGAGCAGAAGTGATATAAAATATTTCTAGGCCTGGTTTATTTAAAACACACCTCAACTTTCTCTGTACTCTTTCTGCATCTAACACTCAGGGTGACCCTAGAAGCCACCAAGTATGTGGAATGCATACATTAAAGTTTTGGGTGTCCTGGATCTCTGCCTCCCCCACACACATCCATCAGTGGATTTAGGTAAATGAGAAACTTTCAATTATGTTAGGGCATCAAGAGCTAGGGGCTTGTCTCTTACATTATCCTAATGAATAGAGCAATCTATAAATCTATACTGATGTGCAAAGATATTTATGATAAATAAAGGCAAAAAAACCCTTCAGCAGTTTGTTTTTTTACCATCCCATCTGTGAAAAAATATGCATATATTCTTGTTTATGCACAAAAGTATCTAAGACATAATAGTGATTACCTCTAGGGAATCTGAAGGTTTGGGGTGATAGGAATGCCGACTCTTCCATTTACACCCTCTTGTACTGTTTGATTTTTTAAAAATATCTACTACTTCCAAAAACTGTATTCCAAAAGAAATGGATTGCTTCCATTTCCAAAAGAAATCAGTTGTTTCCATTTATAAGAGCCTGCCTGCTCTCTGTAGGATGTCAGGGTTTGCGGGAAGACCTGACACGCCATTTAACTTCCTCCATGGGCTTCCCTGCTGGCTCAGTGGTAAAGAATCCACCTGCCAATGCAGGAGACGTGGGTCCAATTCCTGGGTTGGGAAGATCTGCTAGAGAAGGAAATAATTGCCCACTCCAATATACTTGCCTGGGAAATCCCGTGGACAGAGGAGCCTGATGGGCTACAGTCCATGGGGTTGCAAAAGAGTTGAACCTGACTTAGTGACTAAATAACAGCAAGAACAAATGCCTTTCCTGCTAAACTGCTTATAACAAACTAAACTGGGCAATAGAGGAACTTCCCATGAGAATGGCCATTCTACAGAGCTATTTGGGGGTGTAGCATCACCACTCACCTTTTTTCTTCCCAGTCGTGACTAAAGCCGGTGTCCTTGGACTCTCTACACATTGAATGTCAAGAGCTATTATCTTTAGCCCTCTTCTTTGATGATTTGTCCTGTAATAACTAGCCTCTCAACAGGTACTGTGCTTTGGCTCTATATTTAGCATGGTCAGTGGTGACCACAAATGGTCATAAAGCTGCTGCCCTTATATGATAGGGATAATTACGATTGCTACCCACTATTATTTATAACTAAATGCTAAGCACCATGTTGGTGCTTTACATATATTATCTCTTCTCACAACCTCTGCCAGGTAAAAATTTTTTACCTCAATTTTCAGATGAGAAAACTGAGTCTCAGAGAGGTTTAAGAATAACAGTAAATAGTTATTGAGCACCTATTGTGTTTAGATGCAGGGAATCTAGTAGCTAATAGATAAGACCCTGATCTCATAGAGTGTACAGTTCTATCAGAGAGGAGTTAAGTCACACCAGCTGACAAACTGCCCTCACACACACTTCCACTCAGCACTTCAGTGCCAGCCCCTAAATACGAGCAGGTAGCTAAGGATAACCGCACATGAGACAAGCCTTCTACGTGAAAGATGGAGGCTGGAATAAACAGAATAAAAGAAACCAAGAAACAATGGCGAGAGCAGAAGAAAATCTTAACTAATTTTCTGCAGTATTTTCAGAGAGTTAGCTGAAACACTTGACTGGTTGCAGTATTATTTGCTCATTTAATTCTTACGGCAACCCTAAAATGTAGGCAGTTGTAAGAGAACAGAAAATATATGTGTATATATATATATATATTGGTTTCTACCCCTGCTTCCTGGTACAGAGCTCCTAAAACCCTTATACATTCCTTCCCTGTGTGGTAAGACCTCAGGGAGCATCTTTTATTTGTTTGTTTGTTTATTTTTGGCCGGGCTGGGTCTTCGTTTCTGCTCAGGCTTCTCTCCAGTTGTGGCAAGGGGGTGGTACTCTCTCATTGCACATGGCAAGCTGCTCAGCGCGGTGGTTCCTCCTGTTGTGGACATGCGGACTTCAGTAGCAGCAGTCTGAGGTCTCCGTGGTTGCAGCTTACGGGCTCTAGAGCACGGACGCAATAATTGCGGCACACAGGCTTAGCTGCTCTCAGGCACGTGGGATCTTCCCGGATCGAGGATTGATCCTGTGTTGGCAGGCAGATTCTTTATACTGAGCCACCAGGGAAGCCCACACGGAGCACTTCTTGTTCTAATATTTGGTCTTTGAACCCATCCAGACACAGGGTTCCTAAAACCCTTGTGAATTCCTGAGTCATAAGAACACTGGGAACACAGTTGTTCTAATGAGGAACTCTGGGTGGGGTCCTGGGTGGCTGCTGGGTAGGGGCTGGTCACTGGAAAGACCCCATCATGACTGGAAGCTTAGAATGTCCATCCCCACTCCCTCATCCTCCAGAGAAGGCAGAGAAGCTGGAAGTGGAGTTAATGATGGATCATGCCCATGTGAGGAAATTCTCATAAAATCCCAGTATGAGGGGGCTCGGGGAGCTTCTGGGTGGGTGAACACGTCTAAACTGGGAGGGTGACAACCCCAACTCCATGGGGATATTAGATCCTGTGCTCAGGACCCTTCCAAACCTTGCCGTGTGTGTCTCTTCATCTGATTAGGCGTTCTTGGTCATGTTCTTTAACAAACTGGTAACCCTAAGTGTTTCCCAGAGTTCTCTGTGCTGCTGGCAGAAGGATGCATTGCTGGGCCAGGGGAATGCAGTGTGGAGCGTCCTCAAAGAACCTCTGGGAAACGGCCAGCATTGAGTATCTGCCATAACAGAAGGTAAGTTCCTGCCAAAGGAGAATTATTGGGTTGGCCAAAAAGTTCACTCGGGTCTTTCTGTACCATCTTCCAGAAAACCCCAATGAAATTTTTGGCCCAACCCAACAAAACTGTGTATCTGGAGTGAAGGAAATCACCTCTCCCTCCTGCTGGGCCCAACCCCTAGCAGGTCAAGGGGTAGGAGAGGGGCAGGAAAAGAAGTGGAGTCCAAAGAGAGAAAGAAAAGACATGTACCTTCTACCTCCAAAGCCAGCTCTTTTCTCTTTGTTGGTCCCCAAGCCACAGGCCAGGCCACAGATGGGCAGAAATAAGTGTTAAACTGGAAGAGATATTAAAGTGTTGATGTAGACTTGGCTAAACATTTCAATATCTCAAAGTGTCAAGAAAGCTGTAGAATCTGCCCAAGATGCCATCTGGAGGTTGGGATAGGAATATGCACGGTGTGTGTGAAAGAAGAGGTAAGAAGAAGAATATGGCTAATCTTCACTACACTCTACTGGATTCCTTCACTACACTCTACTGGGTTCAGCCCCCATGATGAACCGGTATGAAATGATCAAAGTGGCCCCTAGGAAAACAGCCTGAATCAAAACGACAATACATTCTTGGGCACAAATATACACATCTCGAAGAAAAGACAATCCATGTGGCCAAAGACCTGCAAACAACTCTTGAAAACAGAAAACATAAATTGCTTTGTGTTCCAGTAATTAGTTTTGAGGTGCAGCTGGTGTTTCCTTTGTTAGAACTCATGGGAACCATGGTGCTGGATGCTGAGAGGGGAGTCCACAGCCAGGGTCCTGGGCCTTCACAAAGAGTGGTCCAGAAGCAAGCTCATCCCTTTCAAGCCTGAAAGGCCAAGTACAAACTCATGTCTGATCATGCATCTGTTGGCTTTCACTCCAGACTCTTCCACTGAGGTGTCTGCACAAAAATTTGGTCCGGAACTAACTGATGTTGGGTCTTCAGATACTTCCAAGTTTCAGTTCTAGTATGGTGGTTCTTAATTTCAATGCAGTAGAAACCATCTTTGGATGATTCAGTGAACAGGAATTTACGATAAAATGTACTCACAGGCTCCCTGAATATCCTGAGGGGCCTGGCTTGGATGCTGCAGCCGGAATCATGTC